CGGTGCATCTGTGAGTCCAGCCGTGCCCCGGGAGAGAAGCCGAAGCGAAGCAGTGAGGGGCACCCCCCTCGCTGAGACCAGGCCACGGCCATGGCAGCCTCTGCAGCGGCGGCCGCCCCTCCTCCGGCCCATTCCCGCACCCGTGCTGGCTTTCCCTCGCCATCTGCTCCTCTGCAACGAGCCGCTCTGAATGGGGATTTCCCCGGCGTTCCTTTGCTGGTTATATGGGGCCCGCCGCCTCCCACTGCCGTGTACCGAGAGCCGTTCTGCTGGGAGGCTGGAAGAGGCGTGTTTCTAGAAGCCGCCTGCCCAGGGGAATGGAGCTCCGAGGTGCAGGGCAGAGCTGGCATTCCTCGAGCCTGGCTGGCAGCCCTCTGTGTGGGTTCTGTGGGGCATGACCACGGCAGTTTTGCAGATAATAACTCCTGGGTTTTTCCTTTTTCTTTCTATTTTTAAGATTTATTTTTGTATTTCAAAGTCAGAGCTACAGAAGAAGAGAGAGAGAAAGGACTCATCTACTGGTTCACTCTCAAGATGGCCACAGCAGTCAGGGCTGGGCCAGGCTGAAGGCAGCAGCCAGGAGTTTCTTCTGGGGCTCCCGTGTGGGTGGCAGAGACCCAAGTACTTGGGCCATCCTCCACTGCTTTCCCAGGCCCACAGCAGGGAGCGGGGTCGGAAGTGGAGCAGCTGGGGCATGAACCGGCGCCCATCTGGGATGGCGGCGTCACAGGCGGCAGCTTCACCCGCTATGCCACAGCACCACAATGGCTGCCCCTCCTGGGGTTTTCTTACAGAGACTTACTGGCCAGTTACCCTGATGCGGTCTCCATGCCTATTCTTGGCCCCTCTCTGCTGTTCTGTGGGAAGCCAGCTTGCTGGATCAGAGGCAGCAACCCACAGGACAAGGTACAGCCACCTTCACCCTCGCTCACCTACAGGAAGGGCCTCCCCTGCCGGTGCGGCCCCAAGGTGACCCTGCAGTCACAAGGAGCCGGCTCAGGCTCTTATTTGCATTTTTATCTGGTCATACACTCAGCGTGTCTGAAAATGGTAACAGCAACACTAACCTGAGCAAGAATAAAATCACAAGGCTGAAAAGAGAGTGTCACAAGCCATCCGGTAGCCTTCAGCTTTGTTAATAAGCAAGCTCTCTCACACAGGTATTCCTTTTTAAAGTCATTAGTTTATTTTTATTTCTTTGAAAGGCCAAGACAGAGAGATCTTCCAGCTGCCAGTTCACTCTCCAAATGCCCACAACACCTGGTGCTGGGCCAGGCTGAAGCCAGGCGCCCAGAACTCAATGTGGGCCTAGCACTTGGGTGGCAGGAACCCAGCTACTTGAGCCATGACTTGCTGCCTCCCCGGGGGTGTACATCAGCAGGAAGCAGGAATTGGAAGCTGGGCTGGGTGCTCCCAATCTGGGATGCAGGCATCCCAAGTCTTAACTACTGCATTGAACGCCCATCTCTTAAGAAGCTTCTAAAATATTCTTCAGAAACTAAGGAACAGCAATCTCTTTTTTGTTCTTTGTCTTTTAAAGATGTTTTTATTTGAGAGAGTTTCCATCCGCTGGTTCGCTCCCCAGATGGCCACAATGGCTGGGGCTAGGCCAGGCCGAAGCCAAGGGCCAGGAGCTTCTTCCAGGTCTCCCATGTGGGTGTGAGGGCCCAAACACTTGAGCCATCTGCTGCTGCTTTCCCAGGCCATTAGCAGGGAGCTGCATTGGAAGTTGGAGCAGCCAGGACTCAAACCTTCGCCCATATGGGATGCCAGCATTGTAGGTGGCAGCTTTACCTGCTATACCACAATACTGGCCCCAAGAGCAGGAGTTTTGATTGGCTATAAACTCTAACTTCACTGGGGTATGATGCCACTCTGGGAGTGGCCAGACATGGGACGTAGGACCTTGGGTGCTAAACCCAGACAACTGCCCCTCCCCCAGGGCCTCCCACAGAGACTTTGCTCACACCCCTCCCTTCCCCATCTCCTCCCTTCCCCAGAGGCATGTCGGAATTGGCGTGTGCCTGACCTTTGAGACCGTGGGAGGGGAGAAAACATCTTCAGAACTGACCGTGGTCAACAATGGCACGGTGGCCATTTGGTATGACTGGCGGCGGCGGCCCCAGCGGGACTCTTTCCAAGCTATGAAGAGGAATAGGATGCAGCGGTTTTACTTTGACAACCGGGAAGGTACCTAGGAGGGGCTGCCCGTCTGCTGGCTCCTGGCTGGTCTGGCTTGGTCCTCGGGGTCTGGGAGATGCCAAAGTCTCCTTCGTGCACATCTGAGCCCCTCTTCTACATTGTCTTTGTCAAATGCATGATCGATCGGATCATCCGTGTCTGCAGACAGAGCTACGGGCTCAGTCACCCACCTGGACAGGCCTGGGGCTGGAGGACCCCTGCCTGCTTGCCTGGGGCTGCCCCAGGTTTCACCTTCTTCCCCTGGAAACCTCTCCCAGGGGAAACAGTCCTTTGGTCATCTGACCTGGGGCTTAGTTAGATGCGTGTGCATGGCTGAGGGCTCAGTTAACAGCCAACGTGCAGGCTTCGTTAGTGCAGGCTCTGCCAGTTCCTCCTCATTGCAAACCTCTGTCTCTTCACTCAGGTGTGATTCTGCCGGGAGAAACCAAGAACTTCATCTTCTTCTTCAAGTCTTTGACTGCTGGCATCTTCCGGGAATCCTGGGAGTTTGGAACCCATCCCACCCTCTTGGGAGGGGCTCTCCTGCAGGTCAATCTCCATGCGATCTCCCTGGCCCAGGACATTTTTAGAGAGGAGAGGAAGTTACTGGAGGTAAGGAAGCTGGGACTTGCGGCCCCTGTGGGCACCACGTGGGTGTCCCGGGTGCGCCTCTGCAGGGGTCTTATTTCTTCCAGGCTTAGAGTGAATTTTTCACAAACAGGTAGCTGCTGTCGCTCAGCCTAGGGCTTTGTGATGTGAAAGATGGGGTGGGAGAGGCTGGGGGAGGGAGAGCTTGAGGCCCCACCAGGCGCGGCCCCCACTGGGTTAGAAAGGAATGAGACGGATCCTGGATGTGGAGACAGCATGGAAGTTCCTACCTGGGTCCAGACAGAACAGATGAGCCTTCACGTTGGCGTGTACTGGGTTCACTGCTGTGTGCTACTGTGTTTAACTGATAAGACTTCAAAACCAGAGAGAGCAATTTAAAGAGAGGGCCACATCTGCCCGCCCTCCCGCTCCAGGAGCTGTCACAGTGGAGTGAATGTGAGGTGGGACCTGGGACTCGGCCACCTGCCCGGGGTTTTGTGGTGCGGCCCCCTTTGCCCTCTGTGGGGCTGTCTGTGGGCTGCTGTGGCCGATGCCCCACCCCTGGGTTTTGGTGACATCGTGTGGCCAGCCATGGTTCTCAGTGGCACCCACACCCTGCGCCCCTGCCCCCTCTTCCTAACCCGGCGGAAGCACTGTGTTCTGGGACCCACAAGGAGCAGAGCTTCCCTGGGACTGCTCCTCTTGTGTCTCTTTTTCCTCCCTCTTCAGAGTGTCTGGGGAGACCCAGAGGGGAGCCTTGGAATAGGGGTGTGCATGCATGCGAGAAAAGGAGGCAGACAGTGGCGGGAACTCGATCCGCTGGAAGGCGCAGATCCCAGGGGGTCTGGTTCCTGTCAGCGCTGCACGGGTTTTGTGAGCTTGGGCTGCCATCTTGTGCCACTCTCCTTTCCCCCAGAGAAAACTGGCTTCCCAGGAGGCACTCAGCATTGCCAAGAGCCTGTTGCCGGAGCTGCTGATGGGAGTCTTGACCCCGGAGCCCGCGCCGCTAGCTACGGACACCTGTCTCACCGAGGAGGACTTGTTCCACCACCGGAATCCTCGGGTACCAGCCTGGCCCTGGCCCTGGCCCTGCATGAGCGCCTCGGGCGCTTGTAACAGCACACCCTGCCACGTGCCGGGACCTGTTCTGAGCGTCCGCCAGAAGTCACTCACTTGCTCCTGGGAGCCGTTCTGGGAGATGGGTCATGCTTGGATCCTCACTTGATACTGAGGACAGTGGGCTGGGACTCGAACCGGCACGCACGTGGGATGCTGGCGCTTAAGTGAGGTTCAGAACTTGACCCGAGGTACCTTAGCTAGTGAGAACAGCCCCACCAGCTCCTTCGTTGGAACCCGGTCTTACTTGGAAACACAGATTCCAAAAAGCTGCAGATGCTCTGGTTGAAGGGGAGGGAGGAAGCTGCTAAGGCCCCAGCTGTTCCTGCTGGCCTCATCCCTGAGTGTCCTCGAGGGGACCACGGGAAACTAGAGCCGGTCGCCTGCGCTCCGGGTACCGGCGCCCCAGCCTCCTGCTCACGCATCTTCTCTTGCTCCTGCTGCAGTTGCATTACCAGTACCAAGTGGTGCAAAGCCTGCACCGGCTGTGGCGCCAGTACGCGGTCCTGCTGCCCAAGGAGGCCTGGCCAAGCGAGGAGGAGCCCCTGGGCCCCAGGGCCCTGGTGACTGTGGTGCCGTCGTCCTATCTGGAGAAGACCCCGGGGAGCCATGAGCACCATAAGGTCCCGGGCTTGGAAGCTCAGCGTCAAGAGACCAAGGCCTTCAGGGACAGCCGAGATTCCGCCGGACCCCAGAAGACGGGTGCGGGGACCAAGAGTGCCCCGCAGAAGAGCATCATGGAGGAAATCCTGGTGGAGGAGACCCTGAACGTAGATGGCACCCTGAGCTCCTGGGATCTGGATGGCCTGGCCCTGCCCAAGTGGAACCTCTGCCTGGAGTACTTCAGGAAGGTGCTCGCCAGACCCTGGGGAGGGATGGTGGAGGGTGGCCCCGGTGCAGCTGGGTGCCACTGCCCCTGCCCTGCACCACGCCAGAGGCCCCAGCAGCCCCCCTTGCCCACGGCCAGTGAGACAAACCTCCTGAGGGTGCAGCGAGAGCAAGCTCTTGAGCCATCTCTTTATGCCTGGGGAACTTGGGCCACCGCAGTAAAGGAGGGGCTCCCTCTCTGACCTTGGAAAACCCTGCAGAAGGAACTCACGGCCACAGATCTCTTGGTGTGGGGAGGGGCAGCCCCCCGACAGACTCCCCAAGGCTGCATCCTCTCCTGGCTCCAACCACCTGTTCCCTGTCACCATGCCTGTCACTAGAGGCCACAGGATGCTCATGATGCCTGTGACCCTGCCAGGCAGCAGTGGCGCTCCCTGAGGAGAACCAGAGAGAGGACGCCCTGGTTAGGCTCAACAAGGCAGCCCTGGAGCTGTGCCAGGAGCAGAGGCCGGTGCAGTCCAACTTCCTGCACCAGATGTGGTAGGTGCCCCCTGCTTCCCTCCGTAGCGCCTGGCCGGGTTCCGGGGGAGGCTGTCTCAGGGCTCCGGGGCTGTGGAAAGATCTGCAGACCCACGCCTGGAGCCTGCCCTTAACAGTCCCTGCCCGCCGCTCTCAAGAATAGACCTTGTCGTCGTCGTCATCGTTGTCGTCTTCTTTTTTTTTTCCTTCCTCTTGGAGCAGAGGAATGTAAAAGGGAGAAAGCAGAGGGCAGTGAGAAGAGGGGCAGGGCAGGGTCCATTCAGAGCACCCGCTGCTCTGCTGGTTGTGAGCCTGCACCTTGCCTATCTGGAACTTGCTCCGAGGGACTTGGGGGGGTGGCTGAATGTATGCAGATCTCCTCCCCCTGGTCCTAGGCCCTTTTCTCTTGGCCACCACCTGGAAGAAGCCAGGCTGCATCTGAGCCCCTGCATGGGTACTTATGGGGGCGCCGGCCACTCTCAGGCCAGGCGTTTCCATAGCAGTTCCCAGCACCAGAGTCTTTGCAGGGCTGGGGACTAGAGCGTCTTCAGGTTCAAGGGTAAACAGGGAGTGCTGGTCTCTCCCCCATGTGTTCTGCCCTCTAGTCTGCAGCTGTGGCGAGTTGTGATTGACAGCCTGGTGAGCCACTCCCTGTGGCTGAGGGCTCTGCTGGGCCTGCCTGAGAAGGAGACCGTCTATTTGGATGTGCTGGAGGAGCAAGGTCAGGCGCCGCGTGGCCACTCGCGTGTCGTCTTCCCGGCCCCTGCCCCGTGGCGGGGCAGCCCCAGCCACGGGCTGCCTGGGGCGGAGGCTCTGCTAGGCTGAGCCCGAGGAGCCGGCCCTGCTCCCCTCCCATCAGGATTGCAGCCCCGCAGCCCCCTCAGCGATCACCTTAGCTCAGGGCCCTGGTGTTGCAGGTGGAGGCCCAGAGGAGTTAACTGACTTGTCCATGGCCCTGTGTGGGGGAGTGCAGAGCTGGGACCGGAACCCAGGTCTCTCCCTGCACCCCCCTCCCATCCCGCGGTCCTGTTCCACAAGGTCGTGCACCTGAACGAGAGGCTTAGGGGACAGAGCAGCTGCAGGGCTCCCTGAACGCCGTCGGGGTGGGGGGCGCTGACGGGGCTCAAGGCCATCACCCTAAACCTCCTCATGTGCCCATGCTGTTAGCCCGCCCCCCGAGGGCTGCCATGGTATCCTCCCCTCGCCTCCCTCAGATCAAAAGTCAACCCCCGTCACGGAGGTGAAGGCAGCCGTGGTGAGAGCCGGGAAGGAGGAGCGGAGGGGGGCGGCCCAGGAAAAGAAGCAGACGGGGCTCAGAGAGAAGGAGGACAAGAAAGGAGCCAAGATGCCGGGGAAGGAGGCATGCTGGGGCCTGCGGGCCGGGAGGGGCTGGGGGCAGGCGGGCCCGGCTCCCCGCTGAGCTGCTGTTGGGGGGGCATCACTGAAGGCTGGGCCTGCCCCCGGTGTCCACGCAGGACCGTGTCAACAGCAAGAAGCAGAAGGCAAAGGACGACAAGAAAATGGTGAAATCCTCCAGCCGGGACAGGCTTTCCTCGGAAGAGACTTCCCATGACAGCGCCACCCCCTCTCAAGAGCCCATAGACCCCCTGGTCATGGAGAAATACACCCAGAGGCTCCACACGGAGGTGAGGGGAGAGCCCAGAGCCATGCCCCCCTCCCCCCGCTCACGCCTGCCACCGTGGCCTCCCGTCAGTGATGGGCGCATGGCTGTGGGAATCAGAGACCTTGCAGATACACCTGGGGTGTTAGGTGCAGAGTACTGTGGGGAAGAGAGGATGGACCAGGGCCAGGTGGGCCTCGTGGGGAAGCTGACCTCCAACAGAATTGAAGGGAGGTGGCCAGGTGGCCGTCCCCAGAAGGGTGCCCTAGCAGGGGGAGCAACCCATCCGGAGTGGGGAGGGCTGGCGAGTGTGGAAGGCCAGCCGGCCCTGTGCGTCCAGGACGGGCCATTGTGGGGATTCGGGGCTTTTTTTCTGGGTGAAGCGAGAAGCCTGCAGGGCCTTGAACAGAGGAGTGAGAGGGTCTGGCGTGGGCTCTAGCAGCTCGCTGCAGCTGCCATCTGGAAGCAGACTGCAGGCAAAGGGGAAGGAGGCCCCTCTCTGCTGCTCCCACCTCCTGTCTGTCAGGTGCACCCTGCTTGGGAGAATGCGTGTCAGTTCATGTCAGTTGCCCCGTTTCTGGGGCAATCTATAAGGAAAGAAGTGTGTTTGGGTTAACGGTTGTGGAGGGTGGCAAGTTCAAGAGCATGGCACTGGGGCAGCCTTGTGCTCCTTCAGGTCACGGTGGAAAGAGAAAGGCCAGCAGAGCGTGTGCAGAGTCGGCAGAGCTGAGGGGCAGCCTGGCTTCCTAGCAGCTGGCTCTCTGGGTAACTAGTCCAGTCCTGAGAGTAAGAACTCACATGCCCAGGGCAGCAAGGGTGGAGCCCTCAGGAGCCAAACCCCTCTCAGGGGTCCCCCACCTCCCCACACCATTGCCTCGGGCAGCGGCTCCTGCGTTCCAGACCTTAGCAAGGGTGCGTTTCCAGCCATTCTAAGGGCTCAGAAGCACTGGAGAGGCTTCCCTCGGGTCCTTAGAGATCCAGCAGGGGGGGAAATCCGCAGAGCCACGCTGGATAGTCAATGGTGTGATGACCTTGCTTTGTCTTCCTCTGATGCGGATAGCTGGGGAGCTGGGCTTACGTCATCGCCATTCTGGTAACACAAGGGATCTCATTCAACCGGAACTTCCGTCTGCTGCCGGTGACGTCACTGATTTTCTGGTGCTCAGTGGGGTCTAGACAGTGAGAGGACCCAGGGCCCATGGGGGTAGACTGTCCCTCGGCTCTCGGATGTGGAGGATCCTGCGTGGTCTTGGAGAGTCTGTGGATCTGTGATCCTACGGGAAGGAACTGGGGCACTGCTCCCTGGGGTCCTGTGGAGTTGCTCCTTTAACATCTGCAGGCTCTGGTTGTCAAAGGGAGCCGTGCAGGTTTGACTAAGCAAAGCTTTGCAAAAACAGAACTTCCGCTGGAACTCTCAGAGCTTTGGTTACCCCTCCCCCGCGGAGGTGCTCTCCCCCGAGCAACCCTTTGCCCGCGGTGTCCGTCCCCTTCTTCCAGGTTTGTGGGCTGCTGGACACCCTGGTGACCGACCTCATGGCTCTGGCTGATGAGCTCAGCTCCACGTGAAATGCTGAGCACGGCCTGCATCGTGCAGCCGAGCCACCTTCTGGGAGATTGGATAGCGAATCAATAAAGAACCTTTGGGTCTTTGCCCCTGCTGCCGTGCCTCTGTGTCCTCGCTGGTGGATCTTGACGAAGTCAGCTCGTGGCCCAGGTTCCCCCGTGTGTCACCTGCCCTCAGACACCCGGGAGCCATCTGCACCCAGGGCGGTGTGGGCTGTGTGGGCTGATGAGCAGAAGAGCAGGCTGGGAGCAGGACAAGGACTGAGTCAGGTGACAGGACAGACAGTGCCACACCTTACTGTTCCTGCCTCGGCCCACACCTTGAGGGTCATGCAAGCATCATCATCAAGTGTGACAGAGTGTGAGGCTAGGAGAACCTGCCCCGAGATCCTCCCACTCAGCTGGGGCCCGGGCCCCATCCTAGTCACTGGGCTCACACTCACCACACCCCTGGATCCATAGAGGCCACACCCCCTTGTCCTCTGCCAGAGGTGATTATTCGGGGTTTTAGTCCACCTCATCCCCCTCCTCAGACCAAGCCATCCGGCTTCAAGCCTTCTCTCTGCCTTCAAAACGGCGGCTGGACCTGAAAGCTTGGGAATGCGAACGGGGCTAGAAGAGCAGGTGCTCTCCTCTGAGGCATTCCCAGGATTGTTTCTTGTCGGTAGCAACGACTAGGGCTGGGCTTCCTGTGGGCAGTGGGCTCCAGGCTCCTTTGCTAATGGCAGGTGGTCTCTAAGCTGATGGAGCAGAAAAGGTATGGGGGCAGTGAGGGGTGTGACCACGGCTGGAAGTTCCTGGGGTTTGCATTTGGTGTTTCTAATAAGGACCCACGTGGAGGAACAGGTTTGGAGAGAGCAGGTTACCCCTCCCACTGGGGTTGGAAGGCTAAGTCCCCTCCACAACAGGGCAGCTCCAGGGAGCAGTCCTGCCTACTCCTTGAACGTCCTCCTGGCTCAGGGGGGATGTAGGAGCTCCCCCACTTCTGCCCTGTCCTGCCGCAAAGGCAGAGCAAGGGTTAACTCACTGCAGGGTGGAAGTGGGCCCCTGGCTCCAGATCTGCCCCTCCTGGGGCGGCCAGTAGGCAGGCTTCCCCCTGGAGGCCGGAAGGCACTGCCTGGCTGGCAGCAGGAAGGGGTTAAGCGCCCTGCGTCCTCCTGTGTCCTGTTACTGCTGAGGCAGACCTGCCCGGCCAGCTGAGCAACTTTCCTGCGAGCCCAGTGCTGCCGGCTCCAGGCAGAGCTGCTGCCCATTCTGGGGACCCTGCTGCTGCCACTCACTGAGGGTGGGTCTCCGGCAGGAGGGTCCATGGTGGATGGCTTAGGAGCTGCTCCGGGGCTCTGCTCCAGGTCCAAGGGTCACTGCAGAGGCTGCCTGGGCTGGGGCTGGGGCCGAGGGAGCCCACCGCAGAGGTAAGCGTCCTCCAGGCCCCCTCCCTGGCTGCGATGGTGAATCGTGTCCCGCGTGGATGTGGAAGGCGGGGCAAAGAGTGGGCTTGGGGCTCAGACTCTTTCCCAGGGCCGGGGAGTGGGCGAGAAGGGCAGGGCTTCCAGGATCTGGGGACTCCGTGCCTGCTGCCCCTCCCTCCCTGCCACCCCAGGAGGGGCCTCGGGGACTCTCTCCCCACCCCAGGACTTAGCATCTCTGGTGGCGGTCCCCATAGGCTTCTGCACACCTCTGATGCCCTCCTAGCCCCAGCGCAGCCCCCACCCCTGCCCCAGAGTCCCTGGGACACAGCTTACACCAGGGCCGGCGCTTAGAACAGGAGCTCCCTCCCCTGTTCCTCCTGTAGTAGCAACAAGGGCACCGCGGCTCCCCAGCTGCTCCCGCTGGACCCAGCATGGGGGACAAGAGCATGGGGAGGGGGCGTGGGCTGCTGAGGGCACCCCAGACTCTGAACAAACTTATGCACAGGACTGGCCAGGTCTCTGATTCTCACTCTGGGGATGCCGTCTCCCTCTGGGGATATCTTCAGATTCCCCCAGCACCTCCCTGCAGTTTCTCCTTGGGCCCTTCTGTAGGAGACAGCTGTACCCCAACACCCACCACACCCCCTGCTGGCCCTTCTCCCACTTCCTCTCCCCTCCCCCATTTCAGAATTAGCCTCCCAGGCCCTGCCTTCTCGGCGTCCTTCCCTCCACCTGACAGGGTCTGGCTCAAGGTCACTGCAGTAATTCCATACGCGGCTGCCCGGGGCTGCCGCTGCCACCACCGCCGCCGCCTTATCGGCAGCCGGGTTTCTGTTTCACTCCCTTTAATTTCTGGGCATACTGTGTTCGATAAAACCCTGTGCTTATAACACCGCTGGCAGCACTCCCAGCCGCTCCCTCCCGCGTTCCTTCGCTTCTCCCCCCTCCCGTCCGTGCTCCCTTGGCCTCACCCCACCCCCTCCTCCTCCCCTCCTCCCTACCCTGTCCCCTGGAACTGCAGGGCATTCAGGTGGAGCCAGGTCCCTGGGTTTCTGCACCGCCCCCCGGCCCTGCTTCCGCAAAAAGTGCCCACCTTCCAGGAGAAAAGTCCCTCCAGGCTGGGGCTCACACCAGCGGCCCCCACCCAGGCCAGGCAGAAGGGCTGGGGCAGCCCGGCCCAGGGAGGGCTCTGCTGGAGCCCGGATGCCTGACTGGTTCTGCCAGTTCCAGTGGCCAGCAGGGAGGGGCTTCAGTGCACAATTATTTTCCCGTCTTGACTGCCACCTGCCCGCTGGTCGCTGGCCGCGGAGCTGAAGGCAGGTCTGAGTCACGGGCGAGGGGGCGGGCAGGAGTTAAACAAGTGTGGCTGTGGCATCCCCACGGAAGGCCAGCCACTGGCCGGCTGGACGCGCAGACTGACAGCAGGTAGGGACACTGCACTTCCTCCTGGGGCCTGTGCCCTCTCAGACAGCCCCTCAACACACACACACAGCCTGTGGGGCAGGAGCCAGGGGTCGGCAGGGCTGGAGTGGAAGGAGGGTAGAGTTGAGTGGGGGAGCAGGTTGGCCCCTTCCTGATTGCCACTTCTAGCAGCCTCCATATCAGCTGAGGCCCAGCCAGGCTGGGAGGGTGGGCGGGGCTGAGAGGTGCAGTCTCAGAGGCATGGGGAGAAGCAGCCCCCCCACCCGGGCCAGGCTGAGTGCGTGTGTGCACACCTGTGCTCCTGATTCAGCAATGGCAGCAGCAGGGGTTCCTCTTTCAGTTTCTGCAAGGGCCTGGGGCGGGGTTGGGGGGTAGCTTACTCTGGGGTCTGGTCCTGAGGCTGCTGGGAGGGAGACGGCCGTCGGAGGTGTGCCATGTGTGCCATGTGTGCCATGGGCTGTGGGGGTTTGCGAGTCCTGCTGCAGGGAGCTTCCATTCCGGCTGAGACGGTAAATCCATCCGATGAATTATTCACCAAACTGGACGACTCTGATAAGTTTTGGAGACCTAGGGGTCAGTGCCAGCTCTGTCACCTACACTCCAAGGGCTCTGCGCTCTTGCGTATCTGCCAGACACGGGTCTCTGAGAGAGGTGGTCTGCCCCCAGTACTCCTTATGCTTGCCCTTTGGCCCGGCTCCCAGCATCGCCTCTGAGCTGCCTTCTGCCCTGCCCAGTTCATCCCTCCTCTCCCTTACCTTTGGTCTCAGATCTCAGCTCAGGCACCTCCTCTGGGAAGTCTCCCCTGATTCCTCTCGCCTCATATCCACATGGACTGTGCTCTTCTGCACCCCTTCACCTGACTGAGGGTGGACCAGGACAGCACAGTACCTGGCTTGGAAAGGGCCTCCAGGAAGTAGGTGTTGAAGGAACCAAACAACAGAAGTTAACACGCACCAGCGAGGAGGGTGGCCAGAGAAGCCAGAAAGGACAGAGCCTACACCGTCCCCTGGCCGGGGAGAAGGGGGGCCAGGGGAGCATTCCTGGGCACCCCGGCATCTCCAGGGGAGGGGGCAGCCTGGGGTCTTCCAGGCCCCCCCGTGTGTGTGAGGCTCTGCCATCGTGGGCAGGTCTGATACTTCCCCAGCTTCACTTTCCCCATCTGTGAATGGTAATAATGATAATGGCGTCCCCGCAGCAGGATTGTGCCAATGGATGAGTGCAAAGCCAGAAGTGGCCCCTGCAGGCTGCTACTGGCAGCAGGGACAACCGGCCAGACCTCGTCCAGTCGGGTTGCGGCCCACAGCCCCTGAGTTCCAGTCCTCTCTTCCTCAGCCCCATGTGGACCCCAAGGACACAGCCACCCTGCTGAGAGTTCCGTGGTCTGCCCTCGGAGACCGTGACCTCGAGACGGCGGCCCTCTGCGGCCCTCCACCTCCGGCGGGGGCGGGGGCCGGCCACCTCCAAGTGCTCGGCCATGACGACCTCTGCACTCCGGCGCCAGGTGAAGAACATCGTGCACAACTACTCGGAGGCAGAGATCAAAGTGCGCGAGGCCACCAGCAATGACCCCTGGGGCCCGCCCAGCTCACTCATGTCCGAGATCGCCGACCTGACCTTCAACACGGTGGCCTTCGCCGAGGTCATGGGCATGCTGTGGCGACGGCTCAATGACAGCGGCAAGAACTGGCGGCACGTGTACAAGGCGCTGACCTTGCTGGACTACTTGCTCAAGACGGGCTCTGAGCGGGTGGCCCACCAGTGCCGGGAGAACCTCTACACCATCCAGACGCTCAAGGACTTCCAGTACATCGACCGCGATGGCAAGGACCAGGGCGTCAACGTGCGCGAGAAGGTCAAGCAGGTGATGGCCCTGCTCAAGGACGAGGAGCGCCTGCGGCAGGAGCGCAGCCACGCCCTCAAGACCAAGGAGCGCATGGCGCTGGAGGGCACGGGCATCGGCAGTGGGCAGCTGGGCTTCAGCCGCCGCCACGGCGAGGACTACGGGCGCTCCCGTGGTTCCCCATCCTCCTACAACTGTGAGTGGGCCCCTGGGGGCTGTGGCTGGGCCAGGGCCGGGGTCTGAGTTCGAATCCTACCTCTGTAGGCCTGAGCCATGGTAGGAACAGCAGTCAGTGAGAGAAGGAACGGTACTGCGAGGCAGTGCACACGCAGGTGATCGACATATCGTGTTCTACTGATGACCGTCAATTAGTTGTCTGATAGGGTGGAAAGGTGCAGAAGCATAGGCTTTGGGGTTGAGTAGCCTTCTCCAAGCTGTGTGACCCCGGCAACCAGGTCTCCAGACCTCCGTGCTCATCTGTAAAATGGAGATAACCCTACCTACTCCATTGTGCGAACTGAAAATTAAGCAAGGCCAGGCCCAGGGACGCCTGTGACACTGCAGCCAGACACCAGGCATTCACCTCTCTCCCTCTGCACCAGAGGGCACTGCCCTTGAAAACAGGTGACTGCTGGCCAGTTCCCGACTCTCCCCTCCCCCCTCGGCAGAAGGTTCCCCAAGGAGTCCTCCGAATGCTCTTGGCGGTTTGCTGCGGCTCTAATGCTGTGACCTTGTTGCATTGAAACCTCCCGGCCTCCCATTCCCCCTTGGCCACAAGCAGCATAGGGTCTGCCTGGAAGCATCCAAGAGTTGGAGCCAAGGGACCTGGGTTCAAGATCCTGGCCAGGCCAGACCACCCCCTCCAACCCTGAGCTGTGTGTGCACCTGCTGGGGCATGGAAGGTGGAACCCATGCAAAGTGCCCGGCAACTGTCTGGCCTTCGGGGGCCCCAACTGCCAAATGTCCCCTTTCCCTCCGTGTCCTCCTTTGGGCCTCAGCTTCCTGGCAGGTGGAGGGGAGTGAGAGCCCTGGGCACCGGCATGGTCGCAGAAACCACCACCATTGTTGCAGCCTCCTCCTCGCCCCCCCGCTACACGTCCGACCTGGAGCAGGCCCGGCCTCAGACATCAGGAGAGGAAGAGCTGCAGCTGCAGCTGGCCCTGGCCATGAGCCGAGAGGAGGCTGACAAGGTGAGGTCCCACGTCGAGGCTGCGCTGGGCGGAGCTGGGCAGAGGAGCCTCGGAACCCCACGGCCTTCACTTGGGCTCCCTAGCCTGGGCCCACTCCTGCCCTCCAAGGACAGCACAGGGCCCATCTGTATCCCTGGACTTGACCCTTGCAGAGGCTGCCTCCTCACCTCCAGTCCTCTCTGTCTGGGCCTCCAGAGGTGTGGCTGGGGGTTTCAGGTGGTTCTAAGGGACCCTCCCCCTCTCCTCCTAGTGGTGGCGGTAGAAGGTGAGGGTGCCAGCAGATGCATTCCCAGGAGACCTGGGCTATGCTGCTCCCCACCAACTGTCCCTTTGCAGGGACAGGGACAGTACCCCTGAGGCCGTCTCCTCTGCCATGCGTCTTTGGATCCAGGAAGACTGGGCAGGAAGCAGCTGGGCCGCACACAGCGAGGCCCGGGAAGCCATCGGGGCATCCAGGAGAGAATGGGCTACCTTCCGGGTCTTGACCCTGCAGCTCAGACCCCACCCCCACTCCTGGCCCTCCGCCCCGTTACTCAGCCAGGACTGGCCCGGGGTGGGGGGAGCACGGGGCCAAGTTCACCCCTCTCTTCCTCCCTCACAGCCAGTACCCCCAGCCTCCCTCAGGGACGAGGACCTGCAGCTACAGCTGGCTCTGCGCCTGAGCCGGCAGGAGCACGAGAAGGTAGTGAGTGGGCTGAGGCCCCCCTGGCTACAGGTGCTGCTGCGGCTGGTGGAGGCCTTGCTGCTGGTGGAGGTGCTACGAGGCCACTAACAGGCTCCTCACGCTGCCCCCCTGCCCCGGTGATCCTGCCGCTCTTAACCTCAGCCGCCTCCCGCCCTGCACTCTCCTGACTCAGCCTCAGGTGCCCCCTCCTGTGTGGCCTGGGCTGCTCACACGCCCCCTCCTTCTGTGCCTTCTGCAGGAGGTGAGGTCCTGGCGAGGAGATGACTCCCCCACGGCCAATGGTGCAGGGGCCGCCTCCTGCCGCCGGCCAGACCAAGAGCCGGAGAGAGAAGACAGAAAGGAGGAGGAGAAGCTGAAAACCAGCCAGGTAGGGGGCAGGCTGGGGTGTAGGGCAGTTAGCAGCTGTAGAATGAACGGTGTGTGGCCTATCGCACGTGCTAAGCGGCCATGAAATGAAAATGGAGGTAGGGGTGCCTATCAGCCTCGGGTTCCGGCCAGCAGCACAATGGGGTGGGAGAGTCCTGCGCCGGCATCTGAGGACCTGGAGGACCTGAGGCCTGCCACTGCCCTGGCCAGTTCCCTCCAGTGTCAGCAGGCTCCTTGGAGAGCTCCAGTTCTGATGCCCCGGCATCTTGTGTCAACCGTGGAGCCAGACGAGGGGAGGGCTCGGGCACACAGTGCCGACAGCCTCCTGGGCTCAGACACGCGCTCTCACCTTGCCTCCCCCTGGGATGTCTCTGTCCCCGTCTACCCATGGCCATGTTTTCTCAGACACTGACCCAGAGAGGGACCCTCCATGTAAACTATCTCTGCCTGCTTCTGCTCCCTGGGTTCTACCCCAGCTCTGCCTCTCTCTGGGCCTCAGCTGCCTCACCTGTAAAATGGGCACATCACCTTTCCTTGTCTAGCTCTCAAGGTGGAGAATCAGACACTGAACAGATAAGGAGGTATTTATAAACTGGCAAGCAGTGTACAAAGGTGAGGGATCGTTAAGGGTGTTTGTGGAATGAATACAGGAGGGAGAGAGCTGGAGTCAGGCCAGGGACTGCCCTTCCTGCCAGCCCCGCCCACTTCTGAGCCACGGCTGCCTCTCCCCTCCACAGTCCTCCATCCTGGACTTGGCCGATGTCTTCGTACCTGCCCCGGCCCCGCCCTCCACACACTGCTCTGCTGACCCATGGGACATCCCAGGTGGGCATGCAGGGCTGCCAGAGAGAGCCCCCTGCTCCTCCCCAGACCCTTGCTGGCAGCCCCTCCCCTACAGCCGAGGGCCACTGGGCAAGTCGCTCACCTCCCTGAGCCCCGGTGGCTTCCGCGGTGAGGACTGGGGACCTGAACGGCCCCCTCTCGCTGGAAACTCAGCAAGTCCCCTCTGTTTGTCCTCTCCGATGCGGCCTGGCCCTGGGAGAAGGCGGCCAGAGGTGCCCAGGCCTGGGGTCCAGCTCCCAGGATCACGCTTCAGAGGGGCTCAGCGTCCCAACTGGGGAACTGGGAAGAGGCCCGGAGGAGGGGTAGGTGGGCCTGGGGTTCACGTCTGCTGTGTTCTCATTGCAGGTCTCAGGCCAAGCGCAGAGCCCAGCGGCTCCTCCTGGGGGCCCTCTGCAGACCCCTGGTCTCCCGTTCCCTCGGGAAATGTCCTGTCCCGGAGCCAGCCCTGGGACTTGCTTCCCACACTCTCCTCCTCTGAGCCCTGGGGCAGGACCCCAGTGCTGCCTACTGGACCCCCCGCCACAGACCCCTGGGCACCCAACTCCCCCTACCACAAGCTCCCCAGCACGGGGGCAGACCCCTGGGGGGCCCCGGTGGAGACCTCAGACACACCTGGTAGGTGGAGGGCCAGGGGCTGGGGGAGGGGCCATGCAGGGCTTCTGGGTGCCCCTCCCTCCACAGCCAAGGGCCAGTGGGTCTGTCCTGGTACCCTGGCAAGGGCTGTCCCGTGCCTGCCCTGGTGGCCACACATCTCCTCTCCCTCTTCCTCCTCTGTGAGCTCTAGGTAGTACTTCGACCTTGGACCTGTTTGCCAATGCTCCAGAATCGGCAGAGACCAAGGAGGCGCAGGCCTTGGCCCCTGGGAAGCCAGGCAGCCCTGTGGGTGAGCAGGAGGCGGGGATGCTGGGAGGCCGTCTCTGCTCTCTGTCCTCTCTCTGCTCCTCCCACACGGTGACCCATCCCTAGGGCCGCCACTGACCTCTTGTTTCTGCTCCAGAGTTGGACCTGTTTGGAGAGCCCAGCCCAAGTTCCAAACAAAACGGCACGAAGGAGCCGGATGCCTTTGACCTGGGCATCCTGGGAGACGCGCTGAGCCAACCCGGCAAGGAGGCCCGCGCCTGCCGCACTCCGGAGTCCTTCCTGGGCCCCTCAGCCTCATCCTTGGTCAACCTGGACTCGCTGGTCAAGGCGCCCCTGGCTGCAAAGACCCGGAACCCTTTCCTGACAGGTAGCTCAGCTCCTGCTCCTTCAACCCTGGGGACCCCCACTCTCTCCCCGCCCCTCTCAGCAGAACCCACCCCCTGCCCTAAGCATCCCACACCCTCCACCCCGATCTTGCTGCTGTCTCCCCTTCCCCTGCCTACCAAGTCCCTGACCCACTCTCTTTCCGCAGGTCTCAGCGCCCCATCCCCCACCAACCCGTTCGGCGCGGGCGAGCAGGGCAGGCCGACCCTGAACCAGATGCGCGCCGGCTCGCCGGCGCTGGGCGGGCCCGTCGGGGCGGCGCTGGGCTCCATGACCTACAGTGCCTCGCTGCCCCTCCCGCTCAGCAGCGTGCCGGTCGCCGCGACCCTCCCCGCCTCCGCCAGCGTCTTTCCGCAGGCCGGTGCCTTCGCGCCGCCGCCCGCGAGCCTGCCGCAGCCGCTGCTGCCCACGTCCGGCTCAGCCGGGCCGCTGCACCTGCCCCCGCAGGCGGGCACCAACCCCTTCCTCTGAGGGCCGTCGGCGCATGCGCGCGAGGCCGTGCTCGGCACCCCCCCCCCCAGGCCTGGGGCGAGGTGGTCGCGACCGTGGACCACTGAGGCAGGTGACCCCCGCCAAAGCTAGAGATGGACTGTATTTTGGGGGCCGAGGCCACGCCCCCACAATAAAGACTGGACCCAAGACCTCGCTATCACCAGGTGGACTTTTTGGGGGCGTGGCGGCCGGGTCTGGACCACAGCGCCGATCACCGACTGCGGAAGAGACTACTGCACAACCGGGGGCGCCCCTCCTAACCCGCCCACCCCCGTCTCTCCCATCAGCCTAGCACCTTGGCTTCCAGACGCTCCTAGGCTCCCACTCCTGCGGTCACTTCATGTGTCACACGTGGGCACCGGGCGCCATCTAACAGCCGATGACAGTAGGCGTTTGTTCCCATTTATTGTGCACTGGTTATGTGCTAAGCACTTTAGGCAGAGAATTTCATTTAGTCCTTGCAACAACCCTCTGAGGTAGGTAATATGATTACTCTCTTTCAGAAGCGGCTGCGTAATTTGGGGGCCCAATGCTAGGTGAAAATACAGGGCTCCTTGTTCAAACCTGGGCTGAGAATTCCCAGGCAGGCAGCGCAAAACCTTAAACTAAGCACAAAGCCCTCCGGCGCGCGGCTGCGCAGGGCACACTCACTCTGGCAGCAGCTGGCACTGCTCCCATTTCACAGGCGAGACGCAGAGGGGCTCCCCGGCAGCCTCAAGGCCCACCTCCCACCCCACCCCGGCTCGTGCGGCGCGGGCCTGGGATTCGAAGGCAGACAGCCTGACTCCACCGGCTGGGCCCAGCAAATATTGACCAAGTGCTGGGCTCACCTGGGACAGTCGGACCGATGGGGCCAGGAACTGCTCAGCCCACAACCTTCAGGAACTGAGAACAGCGCAGTAGGGGGCACGGACCGAGTGCGGGAGGCCACGCCCCTTTGTTTCCTGAATCTCCCGCAGTCCAGCTCTCCCTGCCAACCACCTTCCCCAGGACTGGCAAGAAACAGCCTTCCTGGGGTTTAGGCAGGTCTGGTATTTCATGTTGGGGGAGGGGTCCCAGTCCCACCCACGTGGCTACCCCAGCCTACAGGACTAGAGCGGTCAGACCCACAGGGCTCAAAACTCTGCACCCCGGTTTAAAGTTGCTAATAAGGATAATCACTTAGTAATAAGTGGTTACAAGGCTCCCTGACCTGGTGTGTACCTCTGTTTCCTTGTTCAACGAGACCAAGGCTTCCTTCCTGATGAGATCACTGTGCGCATGGCGGGGTGGGAGGTGGGGGGGGGGAGAATGGGAGGGGGGATGTCCCTCCCTCTGGGGCCAGCCCTCTCCTGCTTGACCCCTGCCCCCAACTCTGTGCCTGTCCCACCTGGGCCCCAGGGTTCCCCGGGGATCCGTTTCATTGCCCACAGAGAAGAGCAGGGCGACCTTGCTCCCCCACAGTGGCCGCCCTCCGCCCTGCCTGGGGCAGCCACTCCAACACATTCTTGGGATGCTTGGGGGCGTGGCTCAAGCTCAACCTCGCCCAGATCTTACCTCCACTCCGCCTGGCCCGGCAGCCCGGAGTATGACGTGGCCACCCTCCAGCGCCCAGTTGCCCTTGTCCAAGTCACACTTGAAGTCTCATTGTCACGCCGGGTCTCGCCCAAACTGAAGCAGGCTGCGTGCTCCCTGCTCTTACCCCAGTTCCCTCCAGCCGGGCGCATCCTCCGCTGCCCCGGGCAGGCCACAGTCGGCCAAGCCTCCCTCCCAGAATCCTGGGTCCCTTCACTCCTGCACACCTCCGGGGACTGGCCCCGTGTGTCTTCATTTGCTTCCCAGTGTTCCCCTCACATCCCCTCTCCGTCTCTGTCCTCTTCAAGGACTCTGGGACCAGGCCTGCTGCCCACGACCTGCCTGTTGCAGGAGCCAGCTGGCCTCGCATCCAGGGGGTACCCTAGCCCCTTGCTCCCTTGCGACTCAGTGCACCCGTCTCACTGAGGTGTCCTCAGGGCTGAGTATCTATTGAGAGTCCCTTCCCCAGGAGGTGGCCATGTGTGTGCTCCCACGCCACGCCCGTGTCCCTTGCACCCCAGGCTCGCCTTCTTCAGCTGGTCCTGGCTGGCTTCTCAGGAGTCTGATGGCGTAGACACTGCATTCCCTGGCTGTGTCCCGCAGGCTGGCTGGGCCCCGCCCCCTGTTCACTCCTCCTCCGGAGGGTCATCCTACAGTAGAGGCCCCATTCTTCTCTCCCGACAGCCTGTCCTGTGTGCTCAAGCCTGGACATCCCCATGTCCATGTGGACATCCTAGACACCTCCAGCCAATAGGTCCAGAATGACCGCACGAACCCCCGGCCCCAGCCCAGCCGGGCTCTGTTTGGGGAATGCCCCTGCCTTGCGAGTCACCCTTGACCCCACGCTCGCTCTCGTCTTGCTCAGTGCTAGTTCTGATGCCACTTGCTCCTCTCCCAGCCTCTGGTCCACCACCACCACCCTGGGAGACCTCCACTGTCTCCCCTGGGGGCTGCTCCGGCTCCCACACTGCCCTTGCTCCCACCCTGGCCCTTTCTGGTCCCTTCTCCCCTGGGCAGCTGGCAGGATCTTTCCAAAAACGCAGCTCCCGCTGGCTCCCTGTCCCGCCTAAGCCTTTCACCAGCGTCCCTCTGCTGCCATCAGAGATGCCTTCCTTGTAGCCCACAAGTCCCTCCCAGACCTGGCTCCTGCCCTCCTCCCCTGCCTCCTGCCTCATCCACCAGGCTGTCTTTGCTCTGCTCTGTGTCCAGCCATACCAGCTTCCTGCAGGTCCTGGGTCGTGACTCACCGATGTGCCATAGGGCCTTTGCACATACAGTCCCTTCTGCCTACTTCTCCACTCAGCCACGTTCCCTCCACTGCCCTCCTCGTGTCCTCCATGGCTACTACACAAATGTGATTCCTCAAGGAAGCTTTCCACCGGATCAGATCCCTTGTTATACCTGCTCATGGCACATGGCACAGTGGGTGTTTGTATCTTCACATGCGTGGTGAGCATGTGAGATGGTGAGCAACATGAGAGCAGGAGTGCTGTCTCTCCCTGCCTACTAATGTACAGCCAGTGCAGAGTGGCAGGCAGGGGACAATAAGGGCAGTATGCTGCAAATGCAGGGAGCATGCCGTGTGTGGTGGGACACAGAGTCAGCTCATCGCTATTACTCAGGGAAGGCTTCCAGCGGGGGATCTTGAGATGGGTGCACCTGCTGGGCCTCGCTTCCTATTCGTTGGCAGAATTAAGCTGAGCCTCAGACATTCCACGGCCCTAGCAACTCATAACCCTGTGTTCTCGCATCAGGGGACGAGAAAGCCGAGTCCAACCCAATTTTGAGCAGACGGAGGTCCTCCCAAGCCCAGGCTCTCCGGCCTGCGATTCTGCGCTCGGCCACCCGGCGGCGCTCGGAGACCGCCCACGCGGCGCGGCGTCTGGGCTAGGACCCGCCCGAGGCTCTGCCGGCGCCCCGCCCACCCCTCGCAGCTTCACGCCCTCGGTTCCAGTCCTCCGCGGCCGGGCCCACGGCCCCGAGCAGACATGCTGGGCGCGCGGGCCTGGGTGGGCCGCGGCCAACTGCTGCCCCGCGCCGGGCCGAGCCTCGCTGCGAGCCGTAGGTACGGAAGGGCGGGCGAGCGAGCGAGCGGGCCGCGGCGGCAGGCCCTGTGCCTGCAGTGGGGCCCCGTGGCCGTCCCTTGGGCTCTGATCCCCAGGGGCTGCCCCCACCGCCCCTGCATGCCTGGTCAAACCCCCACGCCCCTCCATCTGCTTCCGCGACCCGGCCCCCCCCTCGGGGAAGCCCGTCTCCCCGCCCTCCTCAGCCTGCAGGGCTGGTTCCCCGCGGGACTGCTCCAAAGCCACCTCCAGGAAGCCTTCCATGAGCCCCTCCTGGGCTGGCCAAAGGACCTTCCCCAACAGCACTTCTGTCCTGTCACGTTCCTTCATTGCTACAGATTTGTCGTAGTTCAGATCCACCCCAGAGCGCATTCACCCTCCCCGGCTGGGCTCCCTGAGCTGGCGGTCTGGTGTCCCCCAGGCTGCTGATCTGCCTCCCCCCCCAGAAATGCCCATGGGAAGGCATTGAGTGAGGGTGTCCCCTGTGTCTGTCTTTCCCTGGTCCAGCCCTAGACCCCAGTCTTCCTGGCCAGTCCAGGCACTGCCAGTGGCCACGCACCCAGCCACTGCAGGTGGGTTCGCCCTGGGGAGGGGCCGCTTCCAGGGAGAGAATGGAGCTCCGAGGAGCATTCTGTCCATTGTGACTCCCCCGACCTCACAGTCATCCTTCCCACCGCCGGGTCCGAAAGTCTGGGGGAGACGAACCTGGCAGGGAGCCCCCAATGAGCCACCTGTCCTCACCCCCCCCCAAACACAAGGGGGAGCACAAAGGCCACAGTCTCCCCCGTGGCTCAGAAAGGTGGGCTGGGCCGGGAGCCGGCATCCCACGAGGGCCGCCGAGGGCTGGGAGGAGGGCGGTGGGCTCTGGGGTGGACCTGGGAGCAGGTGCGGGGGGCCCTCGCCTGCGTGACCCACCTGCCCACGCCAGGGGTAGCTCCTCCCGGGACAAGGACCGAAGTGCATCGGTCAGTAGTTCCGTGCCCATGCCTGCTGGAGGGAAAGGAAGCCGGCCCAGTAGTACCCCATCTGCGCCCCAGAGGGTACCCAACCGCCTGATCAATGAGAAGTCACCGTACCTCCTCCAACATGCCTACAACCCCGTGGACTGGTGAGCGCGCCTCCCCCTGCCCCCCCCCCCCAGCAGCTGGGGTCCTGCAACCTTCCTGGGCCACCAGGCTGCTTGCTCAGTGATGCCCCACCCTGCCCTGGGCCTAGGTACCCCTGGGGACAGGAAGCCTTCGACAAGGCCAGGAAGGAAAACAAGCCCATCTTCCTCTCAGGTAACACCCCTCCCCCTTCCCTGGAGTGGGCCACCCCCACCCGGCTGTGGCAATGGGTGGGACTAAGGGTGGCTGCGAAAGTGCAGGTCAGGCCCCTGGCCCCATCATGGCCCCCAAAACCGCGGCCCCTCCCCTTGCAGTGGGGTACTCCACCTGCCACTGGTGCCACATGATGGAGGAGGAGTCGTTCCAGAATGAGGAGATCGGCCGCCTGCTCAGTGAGGACTTTGTCAGTGTCAAGGTGGACCGGGAGGAGCGGCCGGATGTGGACAAGGTGTACATGACGTTCGTGCAGGTGAGCCGTCTTGCCTCCGAGCCGGGGTGCGTGCTGGCACCGCGCCCCTCATGCCTGCCCTCTCTCCCTGCCAGGCCACCAGCAGTGGCGGGGGCTGGCCCATGAACGTGTGGCTGACTCCCAACTTGCAGCCCTTTGTGGGGGGCACCTACTTCCCCCCGGAGGACGGCCTGACCCGCGTGGGCTTCCGCACGGTGTTGCTAAGAATCCGGGATCAAGTGAGTGTCCGTGGGCAGGAGTTGGGGGCCGGTGCCTCAGCCTGGGGCAACCTCCCAATGTGGCCCC